CGTATGACGTCATACTGCATATATTTAGTTAAAGTGTTCACACGTATTCACCGGATTTGACATCAAGTAGTGTCACATACTCAATGCTGTCTCCCACCCTATATCTTTTCCTGACCGTGTAACCAACAATCCCCGCTACTATTAGTAATAACATGGTTATTGCAATAGACCATATCCAAACTGTAGATTTTGGCTGCGTCGCTGGATTCTCATGATCTGTAGTTTTGTTTTGTTGGTTTTTGGCAATTTTTTCTTCGGCCTGCTTCGTTGTATCATTTGATGTTGGGAGCTTAGTCGTTAAGGGCTGTAATACTGTATTTGGCTCAGCTGTTAAGGGCTTTAATACTGTATTTGGCTCAGCTGTTAAGGGCTTCAATAATGTATTTGGCTTAGTCGTTAAGGGCTGTAATACTGTATTTGGCTTAGTCGTTAAGGGCTTTAATACTGTATTTGGCTCAGCTGTTAAAGGCTCAGGTACATCTTGCTCCACTGCTGTCAGATCCACTGCGTTAATATCAGCTGTTGTTGTTGGCTCCACTATTACAACATGATTCTGTGTTATATTCTCTGCTGGTATGGGGTTATCTTTTAAAATGTGCTCTTCTGTTTTTAACGTTGTAACAGAGTTACTAGGAGTTGTGACCACCGGTAAAAAGGGTAAAAAAGATCTAGAACACTCTGAGGTAGCACTGTCCGGTGAGCAGGTTCTACAGGTGGTGGTGTGTGTGGTGGAGTTGGTGTGTTCATACTCTCCGTTGTTACAGAGGGAGACTAGCAGGACTGGTAGACCCAACACCAGTGTAAGTGTTACAAGTGTCATCATCAGGGAGCACTTATCTCACTACAAGGGTAACTGGTGGGACATGTAGAGGGACACCAACTATGAGAAATGAGGCACTTCTTGTAAGATGGCGGGAATCGTGATGTTATCAACGGGTAAAGATATGATGTAACCAAAAGCAAGATAACCAATGAATAGTATCAAACCATGCAGCCATGATACATACGGGGTAATTTACCCTTTACTGAAGCTGATGTACTCCGGTACAGTTGGAACAAAGCCAAAGATATACAAGTATTGTTCCTCAATCAAAGTCACAATGGAACAGTCTGGAGATATTAAGCTGCTTACTCGTTTTGTGGTTTTATCTTGTTTATATTCAATATAATGATAAGGTTTAAACTGTCTCCTGATGCGATGTAATTACAGCGTGTTTACTGTTCATGCTGAGAATATAATGATTCCCAATACAATCAGACAAAACGAGTTGTTGTAAATTGTTCAGGCATTAATTACAGTTCATGATATCTTCAGTGTTGCGTCATAGCCCATAGGTGAACCTCAAATTATTAGTTACAATAATAATATGTAGATCATCGAAAGTGAACTCCGGAATCCGGATTAACATAAACTCATAAACTCCGTCACTATAATAAAACAGGCAATAATCAAAAGCGAATACATCAAGCTGTTGTACGTGTAGAGTAATATTTTTCACAGTTTTTTAACAAGAAATGTGGCTGCATTTCTCATGTCGTCATATTTTCATCAGCTAAAGTTAACTGAGGACCCACACTTGCGACTTAACAATTAACATTTACCAAGTTTTAATCTTCTGAATGAATTAATAAATGCTAATGCTATATATCCAGCAGTAAACAGTTTAATATCCAACTTGAAACTACTTGAGAACAAAAGTACACAGAATTACAAAAAAACTTGTGCTACTCACATGTGAAGCTTTGCCAGACTTCTAGTCAACACTAACTAGTATGTTACATATTATAACACTAACTAGTATGGTAAATAGTATGGTAAATATGTTGTTAATGTTCTTAGAAAATTGATATTGTCATTGCAGAAAGTAATGATTTTCACACAAAAATATGTAAGAGAAGATTTTCAGGGAAGCAGCTATAACCATGTACGGCTAGGACACAAATTCGGTGCCGAGGTGCAACTACCTGCCACCTGTATATTAGGTGCTAAGGTGCAACAACCTGCCACCTGGATATTAGGTGCTGAGGTTCAACAACCTGCCAACTGGATATTAGGTGCTAAGGTGCAACAACCTGCCACCTGTATATTAAGTGCTAAGGTGCAACAACCTGCCACCTGGATATTAGGTGCTAAGGTGCAACAACCTGCCACCTGGATGGTAGGTGCTAAGGTGCAACAACCTGCCAACTGGATATTAGGTGCTGAGGTGCAACAACCTGCCACCTGGATATTAGGTGCTGATGTGCAACAACCTGCCACCTGGATATTAGGTGCTAAGGTGCAACAACCTGCCAACTGGATATTAGGTGCTAAGGTGCAACAACCTGCCAACTGGATATTAGGTGCTAAGGTGCAACAACCTGCCAACTGGATATTAGGTGCTGAGGTGCAACAACCTGCCACCTGTATATTAGGTGCTGAGGTGCAACAACCTGCCACCTGGATATTAGGTGCTAAGGTGCAACAACCTGCCACCTGGATATTAGGTGCTGAGGTGCAACAACCTGCCAACTGGATATTAGGTGCTGAGGTGCAACAACCTGCCACCTGGATATTAGGTGCTGATGTGCAACAACCTGCCACCTGGATATTAGGTGCTAAGGTGCAACAACCTGCCAACTGGATATTAGGTGCTAAGGTGCAACAACCTGCCAACTGGATATTAGGTGCTAAGGTGCAACAACCTGCCAACTGGATATTAGGTGCTGAGGTGCAACAACCTGCCACCTGTATATTAGGTGCTAAGGTGCAACAACCTGCCACCTGGATATTAGGTGCTAAGGTGCAACAACCTGCCACCTGGATATTAGGTGCTGCGGTGCAACAACCTGCCACCTGGACATTAGGTGCAACAACCTGACTCAATATCACAATCTGAATGACTAGTAGAAATGAAACTCGTTCTAATCCGTGCCTTATAAGGTGCTTCTCTGGCAAAAGAATACTACTTAAAAGTTGTCCCCCAAAGAAACTATGAAGCTGTATGACGAGGGAAAGCAGCACCTAGCATTCGACCGGACGGGGGAAATGATGATCCCACTATTCCGGAAGAACGCCCTGTTTGTGGCGAACGAGAACCGTGGTATTCTCCCACGGTGATTCCCAGCTTATAGGCATGATTCTTGTTTTAAACTTGTGATAAAGGTAAACTATCGCACTCTGTGTCAGGTCTTTCCAGTGGCGTAACTTAGGGCCCCGCAGACCCCGCTGTGCGGGGGGGGGGGGGGCGCTGTATAAGGGGGGCTCAATTTTCTTGAATTTTAGGCCCTTTCACTGAAAAAACGCCTTATTTGTGTATTTTCCTGTCCAATTTAGCGTTTGTAGGACGCGAAAAATATTTGGGGTACCTTTTTTGCTTCAGTGGGCGCAAAAAGCTGTGGGGGGGGGGGGGGGGGGCGAGAGAAAAAGTACCGACCTTTTTTTTTTTTTTTTAATTTTTTTATTAGGGACACAACAAATTTTAGGGGGGGGGGGGGGCACTTTTCGTCACTGAGCGGGGGGGGGGGGGGGGCGCCAACAGGCAAAGTTACGCCACTGGGTCTTTCCATGTCGTCATCAGTTTTTTCCCAGCCGAGAGGGGCCCTTGATAGGCATGCTCACGATTACTTTAGTCCTTAATCCTCTAATATTTTCTGAACCGATTCCTGGGACTTGCAACCCCACGTGAAGCTTTCAATCTCGGACCAACGTTCAGCTGTTGTCGGTCTTTTCACCAGATCGTAATCGGCTCGGATCTCTTGGAGAAAGTCTCTTTGCACTGCTTCTAGAGTTAAGATAACCTCATTTCAAACCTCATTTCCTAGCCTAGACAGCGTGTAAATCATGACCATTTGGTTTTCAGTGTATTCCATTCTAAAAGACAACAACTCATATCTAATGGAACAGTCACGTTTTGTACACATGGATTACTAATTTGTAACGCGCACAGCTCTTCCAGCTTGGTATTTTGCGCTACTTACCCGGCTGCAATAGTACGTATAGCTAAGCTAGCACTTTTGAGCTAGATAGCATAGCTAGCTAGCCATCACTGCACTGAAAATTGCCGCCTCGGTTTCTCAAGGAGCAAATATGGAAGTGGTTTGAACTTTAGTTTGGACTGCATCGAGCAATTTTCGCCTCTGCGTGGATGTCCTGGAGTTGCACCTAGGTGACTTTCATAATCCCACTTCACGTACGGCGCCAAGGGTTCTCTCCACAGACCACAAGCCGGATCCTCTGTTTGAGCGGTAACAATCATACCCCATTCTCAATCACAAGCTCCATGTCCATCTATCACTCATTAAGATGAACATTGGAAGTCCGACTCGACTGTACTGATCAGTGATCACGCTAACAGCGAACACGTGAGACAGCTTGATGAATGGCCATCACGCTAACATTTAGATTCCACCATAAGGCATAAACTTAAAACCAACGAAAAACTGCATCGACCATAATAACCAGCGAGACTGTGATATCTGCCAGTGTTTACACACTACTGACAAGAGCCTTTCGATATCAATTTACCACTCGAAAGTCGAGATCCGTCTGTCCACTAAGTTTCACGACTGAAACTATATTGAAGCTGTGTAAATTGTAATCAGGTTAATTTATCAAATCCATCATTATGATGATGATTTAAACAACGAAAAATCTTCGTATAGCATAAGTTTTGTGTGATTGCAACCTGAGAACCCGATGCAATGAAAACATTTGAGCTTGAAAACTATTTCGTTGAGCTCGGTTTACTTGTTCACACTCGTGCTCAATAAGAATATACTAAATTTTCGGTATTCAAGCTACTTATCAAAATGATGATACTTAAATCGTAAATTATATTATTTCACTTTCAATGTTGATGATTGTTTTAACCACAAAATAGTAGTTGGACAAAAAGACTGCCGAAACCCGGGATCGAACCAGGGACATTTAGATCTTCAGTCTAACGCTCTCCCAACTGAGCTATTTCGGCTACTTTTCATTCTATATTTGCGGAAATATAAACAATCGGAATTTTCAGGTGGTGCGCCGATTCCTTGGACAGATCTGTGACTTGAGCAATTATTTCTCAGAAGAAATAGTGGAGCTTCTTTTCACAGCCTTCAATGAAACCCCTTCCGTGCTACAGTTCATCTCATATCTCTCCTATGTGGGATCTAGTAAAGGTTGGTTTCATTGTGGATTAAACTTGAAATTTAAATCGTGTGTTTTGAATTTTTGCAAAATGTTACACTTTGCTTAGACTTTTGATAGGATTCACTTCAACTCCACCCTTCTAAACAAACTAACTCCCAGCTGCGATAATGGACTACCTGATATGCAACAAAGAAGTGTTCGAGAAGATTCTAGAAGGAACTACATGTGACTCTGCTGGATTGTCTCAGCCCGCACTGATATGTTTGTTTGGGCTGTGCGATCCTTTCGTCTCAATGTTAGACTTCAACCCCGCTGAGCCTGGTTAGATTCAGCGTTACTCCAAAATTTAAAGATACAGAAAATATAGATCTAAATATTCAATATTGGTGATAAGATGAATTCTGAATCGTGATGAGTGACAATGATTCTGGGCTTTGATATGCCATTGGCGGAAGCTCATTGGTAAATGACATTTGGCGGGAACCATCAATTTTCTGACTCAAACCGAACTTACATAACAGTTCGTATTTTTAAATGTATTTCAAGTCCTTTAACTTCATATTTGTACAGGTATCTCCCAGATGTTGGTAAACAGTGTCCCTCCGACTGACATGCTCCAAACAATGGCACAGACCCTGCTAGCCAACCTTAACCAGGGTTCCTACACTACCATCACTCTCAGGCTCAGAACCATCTGGACTCTAGTCGATCATCATCTTGGTTAGCTGCTCACTTTATCTCGGAATAAGACCATGTTTTTCTCGATAGTTTCAATACCTGTTAAGAATATTTCTTGTTGACCCTCAAGTGTGAGTGGTGAAGTAATTGTTGACCCTCAAGTGTGAGTGATGGAGTAATTGTTGACCCTCAAGTGTGAGTGATGGAGTAATTGTTGACCCTCAAGTGTGAGCGGTGGAGTAATTGATGACCCTCCATATTCTAAATATAAGTCGCTAATGCCGTTGATTCAGGTCAGGAAGCAGTGCGGGTAAGTATCCAGGGTGGAGAGTACAGGGTGGTTCTAGGTCGGCTCTGTGGAGATCCCTCTGTAACTCAGGAACATGACACGTGTTCTTCTCTTCTCCTCGACCTCCTTCACAGACTCACTGAACAGGTAACATCACCTCATCTCTAATTCATAACATTTTCCGGACTTATTACGATCTTATTGCAAATTACAATTTAGCCCGTGATTTTCCCTCTCAGTCGTGAATACATTTCTTAAAACGGTCAAACTATCATCAAAACAAGCCTGCCTCCTCACCATTACCTCTCAGAGAGACGGAGAGAGAAGTATGTACGACATGGCAAGGTCCCTGCTGGGTGAGGACGGTATTGACATGTTGAAACAGTTGTCTCTGATACTGGGGCCTGGATCAGACCTCTCTGTTGATATCGTAGAGCTCCTCAGCAAGTTGAACGACCCTCCCTCTGATAGACATGTACAACGAGGTACTGCTTTAGGAAGATAACTTTAGTTATAGGACCACTGTTATTGGTTTCATGTTTTTTCTTTATCGCTTGGATAATCTGTGTAAGTTCTAGCGAGTTTCTATGTGCTAAATTTGAGATATCACAAGAAATATCTCCAATTCGGTGGTTTGCAGTGGTTCCAAGGCATATATCTGGAGATCCAACGATACGATTTTCTTGAAACTTTCTAGATAGTAAGATAGCTTTCAGACAAATAATTTGGGCAAGTTTGGGTGAATTTCTATGTGCCAAATTTGAGATATCACCTCAAATACAAGAATATACTGCTGTCGGACAGATTAATTAAGTGACATTTAAAAAGCAGGTAAAAGTTTGTTGATTGTAAGATTATCTCACCCCTTATCTCCTCCAGATGTGACGGTGGCTCCGATAAGAGGGTCAGGTAAGGACCAGTGGGAGACAAGGAAGATCTGTGTTTCTCAGCCTCGCTCTAACTTCTGGCAACCTCCTTCATACGAGGAGGACAGTGATAATCAGACTGTTAGTTTACATTTACTTTTTTAAATCAGTTCCAACAGTTAATCATAGATTAGTTTACCTGGTAGTGGTAGTGGTAGAGTTTTATTAAACGTTGATATTTAATCTATTAACATCCCTAACATTTAACAAGTTAGAAGAAGACCTTTAATTTGAATTTACCCTTCACATTTTCTCATTTTGATATTTAAGTTAAAGTTTGGTGCGTCCTGTCAGTTCTGTCAGTTAACTTCCGCACATCATGAAGTGTAAGTTGTAACAGTAACACGTGATCAGGGTCACGTGAGAGTCGATCTAGAAGATCTCTCTAAGAGCACTCTCCCTGACTACGACTTAAAGGAGGCTCTGGAGTCCCATCTTACCCTGGGAGGGGTCACCTACATCAAGGAGAAGAAAGAACAGAGGGTTGCTGGACTGGGGGAGGGTGAACATGTCAACGCTAGAGATATGGACAGTTAGTAGTTTTATCGGATACCTGTTATATATCTGCCTTCCTACGATTCCTAGTTAAATATTGTCCTGTCAATCAGCCAGTGGTAAGGTTACTATCTCTGCTAGTCAATGATTATTAATCACTAATTAGCCAGTAGTTAGTCACTAATTAGCCAGTAGTTAGTCACTAATTAGACAGTAATTAGTCACTAATTAGACATTAAGTAGTCACTAATTAGGCAGTAATTACTCACTAATTAGACAGTAATTAAGTAATTAGTCACTAATTAGACAGTAATTAGTCACTGATCATCTCCTTTCCCAGAGCGAGGTGGTAACTACGGTAGAGGTCGTCTCACCAAGACCTCCATGATGCGCCTAGCTGGAGGAAATGACTTTGTCAGAGACGTGTTCAGGTAGAGTGATGATATTAACAGTTCACATGATAATTATTCATTAATTACTGATTGATTAGTTGGTTCATAATTACTCTCTGAAACTGTGGTTATATCAACTGTATACACTTCAATTAGTCACTAATTACCAAGCTAATTAATGTTACAAACCTCAGGTCCCGTAAACAGAACACCAGTAGACCCCCCTCCATGCACGTTGATGATTTTATTGAGATGGAGAAACACAAGACGGGACCCACGCTCCCACCAACTAACCAGGTAACTAACACAAGACTGGACCCACTCTCCCACCAACTAACCAGGTATCGGGATTACATCAGATAGCTAGACTATAGACTATAGGGTGGCCTATTGTTATTTGTCAAATTGAAGTTCACAAATGTTTATTGAGTTCGCTGTTAAACGTGTAAATAATCTCACGTGTTTCGCTCACCACTCACCTGCACTGGAAACAACACCCTAACATCACTACAAGCTGATAACACTGTCACTAACAAGACAACAGAAACAACACCCTAACATCACTACAAGCTGATAACACTGTCACTAACAAGACAACAGAAACAACACCCTAACATCACTACAAGCTGATAACACTGTCACTAACAAGACAACAGAAACAACACCCTAACATCACTACAAGCTGATAACACTGTCACTAACAAGACAACAGAAACAACACCCTAACATCACTACAAGCTGATAACACTGTCACTAACAAGACAACAGAAACAACACCCTAACATCACTACAAGCTGATAACACTGTCACTAACAAGACAACAGAAACAACACCCTAACATCATTGCAAAGCTGATTATACTGTCACTAACAAGACAACAGAAACAACACCCTAACATCACTACAATCTGATTATACTGTCACTAGCAAGACAACAGAAACAACACCCTAACATCACTACAAGCTGATAACACTGTCACTAACAAGACAACAGAAACAACACCCTAACATCACTACAAGCTGATAACACTGTCACTAACAAGACAACACAAACAACACCTTAACATCACTACAAGCTGATAACACTGTCACCAACAAGACAACAGAAACAACACCCTACCATCACTACAAGCTGATAACACTGTCACTAACAAGACAACAGAAACAACACCTTAACATCACTTCAAGCTGATAACACTGTCACTAACAAGACAACAGAAACAACACCTTAACATCACTACAAGCTGATAACACTGTCACTAACAAGACAACAGAAAATGTCTCCCCAGATCCCAGTGTTACAAGAACGTTACAGTAACGCCGACCTCCAGCACCCCTCGCCCCTGATGTGGGGTCGGGACCGGAACTCTCACCCTGGTAACTACCACCACCAGGGGCAGCACTCTGTGTACTATAACCGAGCTGTTACCAGTGATAGGAGCAACCAACACGGCGGCACTTGGTACCAGGTCTGTGTACTTTTTATTTTGGTGTTACTGTGATTTTGTTCTGGTAAATGTAGTTTCCTTTAAATAGCCATTCAGTTCTGTAACATCATGAACTCTTATGGGTACAGATTTTCTGAGCTGTTTTTAAATGTTAAAGAAGATATAAAAAACAAAGCGGTACCCGGTATTTAAAACTAAAATCTAAACCCACTCCCCTTGCTAGGGAGACACAAACAATCAGCGTCACGTGGCTGACACGGGGGGTCGTCATGGTAACACGTGGTACAGCAGAGACAGGTTTAGTGGAGGTGGTGGAAGAGGAGCGCGGTATAGAGACAACAACAACAACAACAACAACCCCCAATATCTCCGCCAGCAGAGAAACTTCCGCTAGACGTCCAGCCGGTGGTCTTTTATAAATTTAGCATTTAGCATACGTTATGTTTGCGTCATTGAATTAATATTGTTATTGATGTTATTCATAAGGATGCAATGTTTTTGGTCCTTATGAATCGGACGTTATTTGACTGGACATTGCCAATTGCGTGAATAGGCATAGTTTTTAACGGACATTAAAATGAACGCTCAAACTCAAAGGCAATCAAAGCAATTAAACATTCGAAATTTGTCTACCTTTTTGCCTTTTTGGGCGTTGTCCCCCAATTTTAGCAGATAATTTTTCGGTCTATTTTTATTACAATGAGCAAAAAAATCAGTCACTGAGCAGTAAAAATGTTAATATAATTTAGACCGAAATTTCAAACTAAAAGTAGTCACAATGACTTCGTAAACGGACAGACTTTATCCAAACGGACATTAAAATGAACGCTACTAGGGCCTCCAGCTTCCAATTATGAATGTCCAAATAGAGTCCGGCCGGTAAGAAAATTATTTAATTGACGATGTCAATTCAGCTCGGCGCGGCACAGTAGCGCATCTCGCCGATCTAGCTGTGAGAAGCCTCATTGAGTGCGCGGCGCGGCACAGTAACGCATCGCGCTACAAGAAAATTATATATTATTATTGCTCAAATTGTACAACTATTACTTTATTTTACTCGATTTACGATGTTTTACTTTAAATTTTATGTGCAAATCGTTAATACCTTATTGGACATAATTGTCACAGATTAAGGTTCTCGAATTATAAAGTCCGGTAATTATTTCCATTAATTTTTGTTTATGTGTCCCTACGGCTACATCTGCGTAGAATTAGATTTAGATAAGGGGCCATCTACTTAGTGCTTAGGTTGACCATTGTTAATGGTCTGGCCCGGTGCGCGCTATTTCGTAGCACTTCGAAGTAATTTAGACGAGTAACATCCGTCAAAACTTTAAGTGCAGAATCAAGCAAGTTATAAACATTAATTTCAAACGTACAACGTAGTATCAATTTTAATGTGCTTTCGGCTCAGACAGAGCGCGCGCCATTATGCATTAACCACTCGAATTGCTCTATCCAGAGCCCTTGCGCTTGCAGTAGCGCGCGCCCGCCTCACGGCGCGAAAGCACATGGTTAGGTGAACCACTCGACTGTCACGTGACTTTTTAAACACGTCCTATAGGTGGCCCTGAATGACCATTGTATCACGTTGCGACCCCCACGGTCGTTTCACTATCACTTTATCGTCCTGACGATACAGGGGAGCCGCGCGCTTCGTGCGCGGCGGGTCATACAACGTATGACAAGAAACCATCACATAACAAAAGCGTACTACAAGAAAGATATCAATTAAAGGCAAAAATGAAAGATGACAGACGAAAGATGATTGACCATTGTATTGTTAATGGTCTGGCCCGGCGCGTGCTACTTCGCTATTTATTTCTAGAAAAAAAGCGGCGCGCGCTACTTCGAAGAAATTTAGACGAGTAACATCCGTCAAACAGATGACAGATGACAGAGATATTCAACAAACTGCAAGCATGAGCAATAGGTTTATCAAAAAGCAGAATGCAGAGAGCGAGTGCGAAAAAGGAAGGAACAAAAGTTCAAAGTTTGTATCTGTCATCTGATCTCAAGCGCTATACTATTTAATATCACGTGACTTAAACATTGCAATATCAAATATCATTGGTTATCTTTATATCCAATGCGACATAAAAATAGCGCGCTTTTCCTATAATGCATGGCGAGTAAATTAGTGAAACCGCTCAGTTCCCCGGGTAAAATTGCAAAAAACTGATTTTGGGGCCAAAAAACCATGTTTTTCAAACTTTTGAGCAAATTAATATTGTTGGCAAAATTTTCATAAAGATAGCTGAAACACAACCGCACATGATGGTATTAGGAGGTGCACCATAAAAATAAACTTGCTCGGATTTTGAAAATTTTTGTACCATTGTTTTCTAGAGACTGTGAGAATTTTTACAATACCAAATTTGTCATACCTTTTTGGAAAGATCAGTGAGTTTCGCCTAGGTGCAATATTTGATGGTGCGCGGCTTTTGGAGCAAAATTAGCTGTAAAAGTCGCGCAATTTGACCAAATTCGTTGATTTTTGTCGTATTATTTGGATATATCTTCAGTTCCTTGAATGAGATCATTCTGAAAATTGGCGACGACCTTCCAATAGGGCTTTCACAACTGTCCGAAAAATTTGGTGGATATCGGAGTTGATATAGTGATCAAAATGGGGCAAAATACGCTGCTTTTAGCTATAACATAATGTCTGATGGTTGGATATGCTTTAAACTTTTCGGACACCTTCCTTGTAAGTCTATGAGTAAGCTTACCAATTTTTGTTGCAATCGAAGGTCGGGAAGGATACTTAATATCTATTTGTTTGAAGAAAATTGTGCTGGCCGAAATTAGCGCTAAAAAACCATCCTACAGTCGGCACGCGCGGCTTACTGTCGATGGCGCACTACCTAATGGTATGGCATGTCACAATTAACTGGCCGCTATTATTTCAGGATCGGATTCCCCCGAGTAAAAATCCAAAAAGGTGGTCAAAATGTCTCTTTTTTTGCTTAAAGTTGGAATAATTTTTTGCAGTTGTATTTATAAATTATATCAATCAACCCAAAAATAATTATATCGTGTTTGCCTAAATTTTTCATTTCCGAGAAAATACGGCTAATATTAAATGGTAGTGGAGTCTGTGCAGCTCTCCCAGCCCACCTTATTTTACTGATTTGAAGGTCCCATTTTATTGACCCAGTACAGGCTAATATTTAATGGTAGTGGAGTCTGTGCAGCTCTCCCAGCCCACCTTATTTTACTGATTTGAAGGTCCCATTTTATTGACCCAGTACAGGCTAATATTAAATGGTAGTGGAGTCTGTGCAGCTCTCCCAGCCCACCTTATTTTACTGATTTGAAGGTCCCATTTTATTGACCCAGTACAGGCTAATATTAAATGGTAGTGGAGTCTGTGCAGCTCTCCCAGCCCACCTTATTTTACTGATTTGAAGGTCCCATTTTATTGACCCAGTACAGGCTAATATTAAATGGTAGTGGAGTCTGTGCAGCTCTCCCAGCCCACCTTATTTTACTGATTTGAATGAAGGTCCCATTTTATTGACCCAGTACTCACTGTCCATTCACTGTTTCACTGTTCATCCTCAGCGTTAATTCTCTGTCTCACTGTACATTCTCTGTTTCACTGTTCTTTCTCAGCGTTAATTCTCTGTCTCACTGTATATTCTCTGTTTTACTGTTCTTCCTCAGCGTTAATTCTCTGTCTCACTGTATATTCTCTGTTTCACTGTTCATCCTCAGCGTTAATTCTCTGTCTCACTGTACATTCTCTGTTTCACTGTTATTCCTCAGCGTTAATCCTCTGTCTCACTGTATATTCTCTGTTTCACTGTTCATCCTCAGCGTTAATTCTCTGTCTCACTGTACATTCTCTGTTTCTCTGTTCATCCTCCGTCTTAGTATTAATTCTCTGTCTCAGTGTTCATTCTCTGTCCCGCTGTTGAATCTTCGTCTTACTTTTCAATTTCTTTCTAAGTGTTACAGTGAGAAGAAAAGAAAGCCGTATGATATTGTTGTTAAAAGCTTGTCCCCTTCAATTAAAATGATATTTCAACATATAGAAAACGATGTAATGGAATTTTAGATTTTGTTACAAAATATGGACAGTCAATTTGTTATTGTACAAAACGTGAGGCGCGGCGACATAATAAATTTTAGAAATGCTCGCGCATTTTGATGATCTGGCGCGCGGCCACTACCATTTAACGTTTACCAGAAAATACCCATTTGATATATGATATACTTTATCGAAGTATGAATATTGTCAATTTGCAAGCGTTTTTGTCAAATTTTCGACGGGAACTACGCGCAAAAGCATTTACAATTTAATTGTTGTCAATGGGCACCCGACACTGCACATAACAAAAGGACCAAAGTGCAAAGAAACTGCTGATAACTGCTAAGGTACTCACTGCTACTACATACTAACTGCTGCTAACTGCTGCATTGCTCTAACCAGAGCCCTCTCGCTTGCAGTAGCGCGCATCCGCCGAAACAAGCGCTATGTGAAACTGCTGCAAATTACTGGGCCGCGCTCAGCCTGTCATTCCGCCGAATCTCTATTCTATGTTTATGAACATGATAGCCTGAGGTCCCCAGGTAAGCTGACAACTGCGACTAACTACAAATAACTGCACTGCTACTAGCTGCAATCGCACCCACGCATTGAGCGCGCGTTTTGTAGCAGTTAGTATCAGTTAGTAGCAGTTAGTAGCAGTTTGCAGCAGTTTGCTGCAGTTTTATGTGTCTTTACTGCGCAACACACGCCGCGCGCAACTGCTGCATGCTGAAAACTGCTGCAAACTGTTACTAACTGCTGAAAATGGCGCGCGCAATGCGTGGGCGCGATTGCAGCAGTTAGTAGCAGTTAGTAGCAGTTAGCAGCAGTTATTAGCAGTTATAGGCATTGAGTAGCAGTTAGCAGCAGTTTCTTTGCACTTTGGTCTTCCTGTGCCGCGCGTTCATTATAAATGTCAATAACAGCCATAACTCAGCGGGATTACGTCTGCTCTAACTTATATGTTATATTTTCACACCAAATAGAAAACAATGTGCCTAAGAGTTATAGACCATAGACTGTTAAATAAAAGTTTAAAACTCGCATATGGTATAGCACGTGACTAATAAGGTCATATTTATATTTCATCATACTACAGGGTGGGCCAAAAGTCAGTACCCATACGTTGGCCTTTATAGCTCAGTCACTGAGTGCCCAATTTAAATACTTCTTTCTGGTATGACTTAGTACCACCACTGGTTCGAGGAATTTGTCAACTCGAAAAATATTCGCGTTCATTTTTTTCAAATGGAGGTTCATTTTCACATTTATTTGATAGTTTGGATAGTCGGATCAAGCTAAATGTTATTGAATTGTGTTTGGCCATTCGAATTACGTTTGTCCTGAAAGAATTAGAACTGTGGCTTCTCAGATTACCGAGATATGAAGCATAACGAGTTTATTCATTACGTGTGATCAGGTGATTGGTTTACCTAATCACGTGATAAGGTGCCCCCGTTAACTACCCCGTTAAACATTATGAGAATTGTTAAGGGTGCCCAATTAAGGTGTCGTGTCACGGTGTCACATAATCACCCAGTCAATATTGTTAACGAGATACAGAAAATGCTTGATAACTTCGTCATTTCTAATCTGTTTTGCCTCATGTTTTCAGATCATATGCAACATTTGATAATCTACCGTCTCTGAAAAAATTAGGCGTCAGCATGTTCAGAGAAAACAATATAGGTGTTTTAATATTGGATGGGCGTGGTCTAAAATATACGAATTTTCAAATTTTGACGACGGAATCCTCGAACCAGTAAGTACAGTATGCCATCTGCAAAGCAACAGCTCTCAAATATAAAACACGGCGGAGCTATTAAGGCCAACGTATGGGTACTGACTTTTGGCCCACCCTGTATAATTGTGTTCAAGACTACAACCCACAGTAATTACATTCATAACAACTATAAACAGAGAAACAATTTTTTTAAGAGAAACAGAACCCCTAATGTCTGCTTACAATTTTCTTTTGGTCCTAATATGAGCATTGTCTCTAAAATCTAAACTGAACTAGCGTATCGGTGTGTGCAAAAGCTTTCAGGCATGCACATTCCTTGCCCCGTTAATTTAAATTTTGTTTTACTAAATTTTGTTTTTCTAAAGTTACCTGTCCTTTCACAATTAAACTGGTAGTCAAGGACAAAAACTCATACACCAAATTCAAATGAGCATTATATTTTTATGAATCGTTTTACATATTATTATTCTGTAAAATTTGCTAAAAATTGAATTTCTTGTTTCATTGAAATTTCTTGTTTCATTGATTGATACATTTTATGGACAGTCTTCCAAATCTTGGCGCATTATACATGATTATACACAATTTACACAACTTGAAACATTTTTGAATACAGGTAGGAGGTACTCTGTAATAAATGGCATAAAATTGAATTTTTGTTCAATTGTTCCAATTGTAACAAAATTTTAACCGAACATTCAAACACTTAAAAGGAAACTTTGAAAAAAGTTTAAGCATATCCAATCAGCAGACATTATGGCACAGCTCAAATTAGCTGCTTTTGTAGCTCCAAAACTCAAAAGCGTGTCATTAAATATGGCACTAAAATGAAACTCACTAATTATTCCAAAAATACAAATTTAGTATTGTGAAAAAGGTCATGTTCTCCAGAAAACAATGGTACAAAACGAGAAAGTTTGATTTTATCATGCAGCTCCTAATACAGGGTTCTGATGATAGCGATCATACATGAGTATGAGCGATGAAGTAGAACCAAAGAATATTTAAATATGACTAAAATGAGAGGAAAATAATTGAGGGCAATGATGACTGACTCTATGAGCACTTAACTGCAGAAAATAAAACACAACTAAACAACCTAATTTAAATTCATATTTACAGTTTAATGGCTTGAGCTCTGTGAGAGGTAATTTAAGTACAGCAACAGAGTCAAGAATGCTTTCTACAAAACAGCTCAAATTTCTGTTCTATGCCCATGGTCCAAAGACTATTTTTTTGGTAAGTTTTCTAGCTTCTTAAGAAATCGACTTTATAGTTAGTTCTGATGGATGAGAGTGATATCTGTCAGCTGCTTTTGGTCCCATGGAAAAATATTGTTCCTAGCCGAAATTATTGCCGGTCAAAGGTCAGTGCTTTTGTGTAATTGTATTTTGTGTAAATCTATCTTCTCCTACATTTTTTGAGCAATCACCCTCACACTTTCAGGATATGTTCTTTGGATCAGCTAGAAGAAAACTCTAGGGCCAGAATTTTGAGATAGGCCTTTAAAGATTTTTAATTCGATTTTGAAAATCTTGGACCTCTAAAAATTGACAAAAATCGACTTTATTTTCAGAACGCACGATTGAAAATCGCTCGCGCAATACAATTACACATAAGCGCTGACCTTTCACCAGCGATAATATCGGCTAGGAACAATATTTTTCCATGGGACCAAAAGCAGCTGATAGATATCACTCTTTTTATTAGAAACAACTATAAAGTTGATATCGAGATAATTTTAATAAGACCCCCTTAACTCAATCAACTTTGAAAATTTATTAGTTTTCTTTCCTTATCAAATATCTTCTTCTACACAACCTTAATCATTTATGATTTTTCAGTTAATCTGGCTCGCTCTAAACATATTCTTGTTTGCATACGATTACTACCAGTACGACACGCTGACAAAGTATACATACCTAAGGAAGATCATTGGAGTAAGTTATTCTATTATTTTGTGTTATTAAAATAGAGATAGCAATAATAGACTGGGCACATGTAGTGTAATTTCAATGTAACTACTTAGAACTATTATATACAGTAAAACCCCGATTTACCGCAGACTTTGGGGAAAGCAAATACCCGCAGTAAATCGGGGTTTACGGTAAATCAGAGTTTGCGGTAAATCGGGGTTTGAGGTAAATCAGGGTTTTAAGTAAATTGGGGTTTGCAGTAAATCGGGGGTTTTGGTTTTTAAGGTCTAAAACGGGTGGATAAGGCCTAAAATCTATAGATGTGATATTTTATAAGCAATTCTTGCTGCCTTTGTATTATATGGTACATGGTATTATTAGAACATGTGAATATCACGTGTCCTAAAATTGTATGATCAGTAAATTCATATCGAATCACATATTATTGCTCCTGTAGTGCCGATCCTTCTTGTACCCTGACAGAGCGAAGTATTGTAGAAAGCATGAGAGGAGTTAAGGGGTAATATGAGAACACATTCTGATTAAAAGTATGTGATTCGAGCACATGAGCTAACAAACACACCTTGAAGTGAGCTAATGAGCTTGCGTAAGGGGTCGCATCCTCAGTATTAATACTATAATAAGGGATCACGTCAATAAAGTCCACTACATCTTAGTGATAATCACCCTCCTCTAAACGTGAACGTCTAAGTGATTCAAATTCTGAAGAGCGGCTTCATTCCACTTGAGTTGCCAAACACTTTGCATTGGAATCGGATGATATTTTAAAGAAATAATCAGACCTGGACAGATAATAATATCATAAATTATGTCTTTAGGGCGACCCTCGTACAAAAAACTGAAATTGTCGAAAAATTCTGACCAAACTGTCCGAAAAAAGATCGAAATTGTTGAACAAATTTTTAAGTGAATTGTGAAGAATAATTTGGGGGAAAGTAAATACATGCAGTAAATCGGGGCGCAGTAAATCGGGGTGCGGTAAATAGGGGTTTTACTGTATATTATATAATATGAACCATTTTCTAAAAACATGTTATGGGATTTCCATTTTTCCTCTTCATTAACCAGGCAGGCTTGCCATTTGCAAGAGGATCTGCAGCATGTCTTAACTTGAACTGCGCACTAATCGTGTTGTGCGTCTGCAGAAACTTCCTCTCCCTTATTCACAACAGTCCGGTTAGTCAAAATTACTGACTCAATTGACAAATTGTGCAGGTTATTTGCCAACGTTGATCCCAATTCCCTAATTTATATTTCTTACAATGTCTTAGTTCTTTGATTGATTATGCTGTTACATCAGTTAAAAGACACCATACTATCGCAATATGAACTACCTTGCCAATAGCCATTTACTCTATCCATTGACTGTAGCCATTTACTGTAGCCTTATACATTTCAGTATTGCCCAAGGGTCATAAGAAGGCTGATAAATCACAATCTGTCACTTCACAAATTATGTGCTTGGTCTATTGTTCTTCATACAGGTCAGCAAATGTTTAAAAGTTTTTATGTGGTTTAATTTCATAGTTACATTTTATTGAGAAGAATCTAATCTTGGCTTTAATTTCCCATTCGGTGCAATTATTATTTTTCAGTAATACACACTCTTGCACACACCTTTAATGTGGAGTTTGCGATCTCCTTCTTTTCCCTGGAGAGGATAGTGCTCAATGGCACCACTACTGACGAGCTAGCAAAGTCGTCTTTCGTGGATAAGAAAGATGTGAGTTTTATTATTACAAATCCAATCATTGCTATTATATCATATTTTATCATTTAACTATTTTTCAAAATTTGAGAAATAGTGAGAATCAAGCAAATGAAAATTAATAAGCATTTGGCATACTGTTAGCAGGTAACTGAATGATATCTATAGATTTTTAATTGACTACAACCACTTTTAGACGGTGTATACCGTTCTGTTTGGAACAGGTAAGTTGCAAGTGCTCCAAGGATCGTGTTTATTGTGCCCGTCCCGCTGAAAATGATGTTGCTGGTTACATTAATACTAGTTTCTCGTGGCCAATATTCGACGAATTGTTCCTTCCTGTTACATTCTTTCGTGTAGCTAAATCGGTCGGAGAATATGCTTTTGAAAAGCTTTGAACATTTATTGTTTTTATATCATTATATTAGTGCAGTTTAATCTCAAACCTTAATGTTGGTAGTGATTATAACCTTCAGCTTTGTCAAGAAGTGCTGATTATAACACATAATAATACGTATCAACACTCTTAACCTGTCTAGTGTCTAATTTTCAGTGGGTGGATTGACGGGTGTGATAATAGACATCTGTCTCTTTCTCATGGTCACCTCATCTATAAAGATAGTTCGAAGATCTTTCTTTGAGGTGTTCTGGTTCACGCACCATCTCTTTATCGTCTTCTTCATCTGCCTTCTTGTTCACGCTTCTGGGTTAGAAATGCAAACAGTAATTAATTGATGTTATCGGGTTCTTGTCAACAAAATGTTGTTGCTTCTAGTTCTATTTCGTCAAATGAACCCAATGAAACAATATCATAATAATAATGGTATTACTCATATTATCAATGGTAATTCTCATAATATTATAATTTTATTGACACAATTATATTCAGTCAGATGATAAAATCACTGCAAGGACCAGAGTGTATGATTGGGGAGGGCAAGGAGTGGTGTAATTACCTCTGTGACACTTACGACAAAACAGTGTCTAGTCTTCCGGGGACCACCATCTGTAAAGATTTAGCTTTTAAGGGTCCTGGCTATGTCAACTACTCCAAGGTTGGTTTAACTGTGGTCTGGCTCTTTTGGAAATATTAGTCTCGTCGTGACTCAATGACTGGTGTGTCTGATAATTTTTCGATTGTTCCTCATCTCACTAATTATTGATCCTTGAACTCCTTGTCACATTTAATTATTTTAAAGATGCTGTAATGAGATTAATGTTGTATATTTTCTTCACAGAGAAATTTATTCTTCTCTTACATAAAATCTTCAGTCGTATTGGTGGGTCGGTGTGCCCCTGATAATATACACTATTGACCGGATTGTACGGTGGTCAAGGCGGTTCAACCCGGCGGTTGTGTACAAGGCTATTGAGCATCCTGGACCTTGTCTGGAACTACGGATGAGGAAGAAGGGCTGGAAACAGCATGCTGGCCAGGTGAGAAATACAGCACAACATGACGCGTAGTCAAAGTGGTGAAGAATCTACTAGTCACATCTATAGTTAATTCATGTTAATATGGTTATAGTTCATACAGAATAAATGATTAATACTCAATCCTAATTATTAAAGCTATTTTAACAGTTCCTAAACTGCTGCCAAGTCATGTCAATATAATCAGACCTCTCGATACAAATAAAAACCCACCACACCCTCTCCAGTACGTGTTCCTGCAATGTAGTGAGTTGTCTATATTTGAGTGGCATCCCTTCACCCTAACTTCAGCTCCTGAAGAGGACTATCTCTCCGTGCATATCAGGAAATCGGGTGACTGGACAGGTGAGTTATTACCAGGATGTTTACCTGGTGTTAGTAGTAAATTGTATTGTTGTGTATTAATATGTCCTGTTCTCTCCAGTTTATCTTTTTAAGCTTTCGTTCAGTTTTTGGAGACATACGAAACGAAACGAAACGAAACACAATATTTACTACCCCGCTCGTATGCGACAAAGATATTGCATAAAATATACCTAAATAATTTACACAATACGGTGCCCATGTCTGAGCGGCTCTCCACAAAAACTTTCTCTCCTCCTCAGAGCAGAAAGTTTTTATTTAAAATATATAAACTGGGGATCTCATAAAAATTTAAGAACCAATGTACTTTATTTGACAATAAAAGATAAAAAATTGTGTCACACCTAAGGTTTATAAACTACCAAGACGTGCGCCGAGTTAGACTCGTCGACGGTCTTATATAATTAGAACACAAAATTTACGAGTATCACCCGTTAAGTCACACACAAGAAAAAATCCTTCTTTGCCTTCTCTTTCATCTCCAAAACGAGCAGATGATGTCCGGCTTGCTCCTCAGGTGACCGATCTGGTGAAATGAACACAGTTTTGTGGTGCTCACTCAGTTTCAGGTTTTTCGATTTTGATAAAATCTGATGTACAGTATTCGAATTTGATAACAAAATTTTGACAGGTCTGGTCTTGTCAGCTGATTTCCTTCCAATCCTTACAGCTTCAAAGTGGGGTTTCACTTCAATCTGTTCAAACAGTTCGTCTACTTTGTCTGATAGTTTCTCTTCATCTGTCTCCTTTAAACCAAAAATAAGAACATTCCTGCTGCGATCCTCTTCTGACATAGCCTTCTGCACAACTTTTTTCAGGCTCTCCTCCGTTATTGTAGTGTTCGGCGAGGCTTTTAACACAGCTTGACTGTATGACTTGATCTCAGCTTGAACAATGTCCTGAACAGTAGATTTTATTGCGGTCTGAACGGATTCCAACTGATTGGCTTCAAGAAGTTCCCTCTGCAGTTTGATAACCGACTCTTGTGATCGGATGAGAAAACTCATCAATTCCTGAGCAACATCTTTCATTGCATTCAGAGTTTCTCCGACGACAGAATTCAACTGATAGTACATATTATACATCAAATTTGATAAAACCTTCTTGACTGGCTTTTCAAACTTTTCAACTGAAAACCTTATTTTATTTTCACAGTTCGTGGCTTCTGCAACATTCGAAATTAAAGCGTTGAAATCCTCATTCGCTTCGTTGAAAAATATAGAGTGTCCTGATAAACGCTGCAGTAAATCTGTGTCCTCCATCATGTACTTAACTTGTATTACAAGGCTACACGGTGGTCGCAGTGCAATTAAACGATTTTACTGATAAGAGAGCAACTGTTATCAACACACAAGCTACAAATTTAGTTCGTCGACTTAGTTTGTCGACTTAGTTTGAAGAAAACTAAATATATTGTCTAACCCAACCATTTATACAGCTTCCCTACTGAAAGCTGTAGCCGGTCATTCTAAAGACAAGACTACCAAAGAGGGAAAGAGAGCAGAGCTGAACTTTAAGATAGCTGTTGATGGACCTTATGGGACACCATCAGACGTTAGTTGCACATTTTCTGTGCAAACTCAACTTGCTGTATATCCTATAATGAACTCATAGCCCAACCAGTCAACCAAAGAATAATTGATAAGAATGTATCAGCTGTTATTCACGAGAGACCTGTGAGTTTCACCTTACATTATATGATCTCAGGACATATTCAAGTACAAGACTACGGTTTTAATTGGAGCTGGAGTCGGAGTAACACCGTATGCATCCATATTAAAATCAGTGTGGTGAGTAAACAGTATAATTAGAATTTAAATTAGTATAATAAGTATCTAAATGTGTAATTAATGCAATTAGTATACCTAGTTAATGCAATTAGTATAATTAGTATAACAAGTATAATTATCATAATTAGTATGATCAGTATGATTAGTATAATTAGCAAAATTAGTATAATTAACAAAATTAGTATAATTAACAAAATTAGTATAATTAGCAAAATTAGTATAATTAGCAAAATTAGTATAATTAGCAAAATTAGTATAATTAGCAAAATTAGTATAATTAACAAAATTAGTATAATTAGCAAAATTAGTATAATTAGCAAAATTAGTATAACTAAAAAAATCTTTATAATTAGCAAAATCATTATAATTAGAAAAATTAGCAAATTTAACATAATTAGCATATAATAATCTTTAAATAGTATCTCGTTGAGATTATCAAAAGGTAAATTACGTAATACTGTGGCCGATTTCTGCCAGAAATGATTTGAACAGACTATTTTCTCACTCTTTGATTTCGACCCATAACTTCATGTCGTGAGCCACTGGTTTTGGGTCTTATATTGACATTTTCTTTAAATGGTGAGTTTAGAAGCACTTGTTTAATTATTTATTTATTTATTATATATTATATGATGAATTATTTTTTGGCCTTGCTGAAATGTTTTATTCGAAAGAGAGTTGTGAGATGACACATTTAAGTATTGCACCTGTTTGAAACAAATCATAGTCATTACTAACGAAGTAATGCAAAACTGAAAAGTCAAAAGTAATACAACTATTTGCTTCTAAATTAATATTTAAAAAGTAATGTAAATTGTAAAAAATTTTCCTTCTTGGTTCTAAGCCCAATACTAATTCAAATTTTTATGAGGGTAAACGCTAAAAATTGGCCTCACCAACAAACTATGAAGCACAATGCACATTGCACAATGCACATATTGTGTAAACTCTGCAAAATAAATATTGAACCAAAAAAGTTTTGGGTTTGTTTGGTAAAATACCTTACTGCTTATGTTCAAGATATTTTGTATAAACATCAGTTTTCAATCGATAATTATTTCAACCTTTAGTAGCTGAAAATGGCTTGTCTCCATGATGTCTATTACAAAATATGCAATATTTCTAAATTATAGTTAGCTATTTTGCAATCCGCTATCGCCAATATGATTATATAACTCTGCCTTCAGTGAAAGAATGTGATTTTATCTCATTCGGAGAACAGTAATTGGTAAAATTATGACCACTTTATTAAGTTATAAATAACAATATGCTAACTATCATATATCCCATATCCTATTATGTTAAATAACACACTTGAAATTTGGGCAGAAAACACGTAATCACGAGCTTACGAGAGAATCAGCAAGTTAGTTTATTTATAAAGGCCTCCCCCAGCCTCGTATCTTAGGATTAGATTTGCAAAAATTCCTGAGACACAGGTGCAAAAGTTAAGACAGCAGAATAATCCTAAGACAAAATTTAAGCAATTCTGAGACAGCGAAAAATCCTGAGACAAAATTTAAGAAATCCCGAGACAGCGAAAAAACCTGAGACAAAATTTAAGAAATCCCAAGACAGCGAAAAAACCTGAGACAAAATTTAAGAAACCTGAGACGCGCGAAAAAACCTGAGACAAAATTTAAGAAATCCCGAGACAGCAAAAAATCCTGAGACAAAATTTAAGAAAACCTGAGACAGCGAAAAATCCTGAGACAAAATTTAAGAAATCCCGAGACAGCAAAAAATCCTGAGACAAAATTTAAGAAAACCTGAGACAGCGAAAAATCCTGAGACAAAATTTAAGAAAACCTGAGACAGCGAAAAATCTTTAGATAGAATTTATACAATAACCACAAGAATATACATTGATATTACATCTTTTTATTTCTTTCAAAGAATATAATAAATACGATATTACTAGGTATAGTAGGAATGTCAATAAGTCAATAGAATTTGTCTGAAATCTCTATGTGCCTGCTAATGAAGTGAGTATCCTAGATCATATCTTTACAGGTAGGACCCCCCCTACCCCTCCTTAATCTGATTAAAAGCTACAAAAACTTCCAGAAATGAGATGGCTGGTTAAAACCTACCTTTGGAAAGCTCTGATGAACCTGCCCGTGGAGAAATTAACACACTTAACTTCACCTCAATTGAGCAATAAATGCCTATTTATCGCTTATTATTATAATATATCAGTAAATGTGTAAGATACTATACCTGAGTGATTACTCCGAACTTTCTAAAAAGCTACAAAGTTAACTTTCTAATAAGCTACGTTGTAGCTGCTACAACGACAACTAATCTTTCGTTTTACTCCCTACTGTACTAGTTTACTCGTCAATCCAGGTATATGACTATGAGAATGGTCTTGAAACTCTGAATTTAAGAGGGAAGCAGTTTTGGGGACGGGGAGATTAAAGCGGGTGGGCGACAAATGACCCCCCCCCCCCCTAGCCTATTGTAAGCCCCCGGCTTACAATTGACCCCCCATGCAATTACACTGAGTCAATTGATCTCAGTATAATAACATGGGGGTTAATTGTCGTACTAAGCCCTAGATTGTACCTGCTAATGAGGTTAATATCCCAGATCATAGCTTTACAGCTAGGCCTGTATAATAGAACCCTGATGTTAAAGCGGACATCACCTTCCCCTCCCTAATGTCTGATTGAAAGATTCCTTTCTTAATGTACGAATAAGAAAACAAGAATTTTTACTAGTACTCCAACTGAGGATGCAGCAGTCGGGGTAAAGGATGACTTTTATCAGCAGCTATCTGGGGCATTTGATGAACTACCAGCTCATGACGTGAAGTTTTTACTTGGAGATCTAAATGCTCGCATTGGCCAAGATAACTCAGCTTGGTCCGGTGTGATTGGTAAGCATTCCCTTCACGTTTCATCAAATGACAACGGCCTTCGACTATTAGATTTCTGTGCATTACATCAGTTGACAATCGGTGGGACGCTTTTCCAGCATCGTGATATTCATAAAGGAAGTTGGAAGTCTCCAGATGGCCGCACAGTAAATCAGATTGACCATGTCTGTATTTCTACCAAGTGGAGTCACTCTCTACTTGACGTAAGATCATGCAGGGGTGCAGACATTGGCTCCGATCATTATTTGGTTCGGGGTCAATTTAGAGTCAAACTTATGGCAGTTCAAAAAATGAACGCCTCTCGTAGGATATCTCCAGCAATTGAGAATCTTAGAGATCAGTCCAAGGTTGAAGAGTACTGCATTGCTCTTCAAAATCGTTTTAGCTGCCTACCAATGGAGGAGAATCTTGATGGAGAATGGACATTAGTTAAGGATACTATTAAAGAAGTGTCTATGGAGGTACTGGGTGAGCGCCCCCGGCGCAGAAAGCAGCAGCATTTGTCTCAGGAGACAAAAACCCTTATTGCAGAACGCAGTAAGATTAAACAAATGGCGCCTAATGACAACAACAATAGGAGCGAGTATTCTCGGGCCAACAAACTTGTCAAAAAGAGCTGCAGGAAAGACGACGAGAATTGGGCTCTTAGAGTTGCAGCAGATCTGGAAACAGCTGCTGTCCATGGCCGTCAAAGGGAAGTCTGGCAACGGATAAAAACACTGTCTGGTAAGAAGAATCGAAAATCAACTGCTGTAAGAGACAAATCCGGGAAGTTGATTGCTGATCCCTCTGCTCAGAGAGAGAGATGGGGAGAACATTTTTCGGAGCTATTAAACCCTCCTCCCACGAATGCGGATATGTCTGACCTGGACCATCTTGAAGTGGTTCCATGCTTTCCTTATCTTGGTGATGGTGATGGTCCCCCCACAAGACTTGAGATTTTAAACTGTCTCAAAAAATTGAAGAATCACAAAAGTGCTGGGATTGACGAAATCTCTAATGAGCAGTTAAAGTATGGGGCAAGTGGTCTTGTGGATAGGATGGAGAAATTGTTCTCTAAAGTTTGGAATTCAGAAGCAGTGCCTGACGACTGGTTGAAAGGCATCGTGATAATTGTACCAAAGAAGGGTGATACCTCTCATTGCTCCAATAATAGGGGGATCACTCTAAGATCTACAGCATCTAAACTGTATCAAATCATCATATTACAACGCATGAGTGACGGTTTAGAAAGTCTGCTACGAGACAATCAGTGTGGGTTTAGAAAGAACAGATCATGCATTGATCAGATTTATTCACTCCGCACTATTATACATAACTGCATTGAATATAATCTCCCCCTGTATGTAAATTTTGTGGACTTCAAGGCAGCTTTTGATTCCATCGACAGGAATTATATTTGGAAAGCTTTCAGTCATTATGGCCTGCCATGTAAATACATTCGAATAATACAGGCATTCTTTAATGGAACTGTTAGTGCTGTTAGACACAATGGTGAACTATCAGAATGGTTTGAAGTAAGTTCAGGCAGTGGCCAAGGAGACATTCAGGGTCCCCCACTTTTTAATGTCTGCCTCAATGTGGCTGCTGAGAGAACAGAAAGCAACAAAGTGGTGTCCCACGGAGCGGTTCTTCAAAGATCTATCAGTCCGCTCGTTGATGATATCACTGTGTTAGATACAGATTATGCAGATGACATGGCTGTACTGGATAAAAGCGAGGAAGGTCTTCAAGAAACAACTGACCTTTTGTGTATGTATGGTGCCCAGGGAGGTCTTAGAATCAATGGTAAAAAGACTGAGGCTATGGTCATTGGTAAAGCAACCTCTCAACGGCCATACACGAAAGAAGCCACAGTGAACATCACTGTTGAAGACACGCCAGTGCAGCAAGTTAGTGACTTTACGTACTTAGGTACAATTATTTCCAGCGACGGTACTATCGACCGTGAGCTGTCAGCTAGGATTCAGAAAGCTTCCGGAGCCTTCAATCAACTGAGTAATATATGGAAAAACCGCAACATCCAGTCTTATACAAAGATCAGGATTTATAAGGCAGCGGTTTTGACAATATTGTTATATGGTAGTGAGGTTTGGAACACAACCAAAAAGCAGCTACA